GGTGAAATCTATACATTTGGTGTCACCACTGCTGAGAGGAGGACAAAACGCTTCTTCCACTTCCATGTCAGCAAGCTGTTCCTATGGGAACGTGTTCAGGGAATACCCCTTTGTCAGTCCTCAAGGAGGCTTCTACTGGGCTGCTGACAATTCCTAAAAACCTCCTACACTTGTGAGTGCCTTTTAATACATTTTAAGCAGCTAAAACCCACTGTCTGCTGATTTCACAGACCCATTCTAGGCTCTGAAAAAGATCCTGACCATATGATCGGGATCTGCCCAGAAACGTAGACTGGAAGCTGGCTCAGGCTCTCAGCAAGCCGCTGGGAACCTGAGCCAGCCACTGCCACCCCTACACAGCCCAGCGCGTCAGTGAGCGCTAGAGGGGCAGAGCAGAGAGTGGTGACTGACAATCTCCAGCTCTCTGCTGGCTAAGGACTGAAAGCAGAGCGATCAGCAGCAGTGTTTGACCACTCAGTTCTCAGTCTTACAGGTGGCAGGGGACAGATGCAGCTGGCATCAAAGCTGCAGCTATCTAAGTATGATTTTTTTTTTGCAAATCCCACGCTTCTCTTTTAAAGTGTATCTATGGTCAAAATGTAAATACATATATTCATTTTCACATTGCATTTCAATTGCTTCTAGCATATTCTTATTAATCTAAGTCATCCTACAGTCCAAAAACTTACTTGAAAAATCCTACACATTTAGGTCCTGGAATTCAGTGACACATATCCACTATGCCTTGTGAATATGCACTGTAGTGTCACACATTTCACAGAGCCTGCCTTCTGAATTACAGAGATTATGAGAGGAGCCAGATTAAGTACAAAAAACATACCACATTAACAGCCAATCTGAATTTAATCCATCCATCCAAGAGAGATCAAGAGGAAAGGAAATCAAAAGGAAAGTTAAAGTGACACACTGAACCCATGGTTTTTTTTTGCAGTGATCCAACGTCCTTTTAGAGCAGTGGTCTCCAAACTGCGGCCTGGGGGCCGGATGCGGCCCTTTGTTTGCCTTTATCCAGCCCTTGGTGCACTATTTAATTCACCAACGCCAACAATGGTGCACAGTTCCTGCCAATGACACGAATGATGGGGCACAATTCCTACCAATGATAGGGCACAGTGGGAGGACATGATACCAACAATGGGGCCCAATGACTCTTATGATGGGGCACAATTCCTACCAATGATGCCAATGATGGGGCACAATTCCTCCCAATGACATCAACATGGGGCACAATTCCTCCTAATCACACCAATGGTGGAACACTCTTCCTACCGATGATGGGGCACTATTTCTGCCGATGATGGGGCACTATTCCTATCAATGACACCAATGATGGGGCACTATTCCTCCCAATGACATCAGCGTGGAGCACAATTCCTCCTAATCACACCAATAATGGAACACTATTCCTACCGATGATATGGCACTATTTCTGCTGATGATGTGGCACTATTTCTGCTGATGATGGGGCACTATTCCTACCAATGCCATCCACGATGGGGCACAATTTCTCCCAATCATACCAGTGATGGGACACTATTCCTATCAATGAGAGCAATGATGGGGCACTATTCCCACCAATGACACCAAAAGTGGGGCCCAATGACACCAATGATGGGACACAATTCCTCCCAATAACACCAAGGATGGGGCATTGTTTACTCCAACTGATGCTGGGACATTTTCTACTCCCAGTGGCCACATTGCGGCCCCTCTAAAGCCTGAAGGACAGTAAACTGGCCCTTTGTTTAAAAAGTTTGGAGACCCCTGTTTTAGAGGGTGGCTACTTTTATTCTCCATGGTCCCACTGTATGTAGGAAGGTAGCCTCCCTCTCATGCTTGCTCCTGAGATGTACTATGAACTGTAGATTCTGGGAAGTGTAGTGTGCATAGAGCAGTGTACATGATGTGCACTGTTCATTCAAAAAAAAAAAAAAGGAAATTGGGGGAAAAGAAAAGGTTTAGGAACTCTCCAAGGAGACAAAACAACACAGTGAGAAATAGTGTAAAAAACAGATTGCAGATCCATTAGATGGTGAATGTGTATGGTTTATTTTTGGAGAATAAGGATATAGTTTAGTGTCTCTTTAGATATGTCATCCTTTATGTTACTCTTCAACCATTTCATGAAGAATGTTTGTTAAAGTGATAAAGCTAAAGCCAAAAACGATTTTTTTAACCTTAATGCATTCCTTGCATTAAGGTAGAAAAAAAATAATTTCTATTCCTCTGCCCCCCCCCTTTCCTATGTGAAGGGGAAGAGAGGGGAGAAGAGACCCAGCTGCATCTCTTCTCCCCTCCCTTCCACTTCACACAGGGACTCAAACAGCAGCAGGAGACATTGGCTCCTGCTGCTGTCAATCAAGTACAGTGAAGAGGAAGTAGGGGTGGGGCTACGTCCCGCAGTGTGTGTTTATGGAGTGCCTCCATAGACACACACTGCATGCCTCCATAGCAAACAGCTTGCTATGGTGACACAACAAAGAAGAGGAGGAGCCAGGATTGCCAGCGGGGGACACAAGAAGAGGAGGATTGGGACTGCTCTGTGCAATACCGCTGCACAGAGCAGGTGAGTATAACATGTTTGTTATTTTAATTAAAAAAAAAAAAATAGACTTTAGTAACACTTTAACATATGAATATAGATCTCTGTCGAGATGGCTTTAAAATGATCTTTTCTTCATCACCGTGTGCATATATTTTCACACTTGAATATGTTGAGTAAAAATATAAGATTAGTAGAGATTCCCAAAGCCCCCTAATCTAGCAGGGGGGGCAATTCACTTTTTCGTTGGAAATGGATCAAAATGAATCATGTGACAATTGTGTTCCTGGGCACCTTAAGGGTACGTGCTGATTGGACTTCATTTATATCAAATCTGGATTGTGTATAGGTTCAGCTGTTGTGGGTCATTTAAAGTGTATACTATCCTAAAAACTTTTGTGTGTGTCCACATATATGTATTTTATAAATCATAGCCGTTATCATTCATGTACTTTTTCCATCTGACGTATCTGGTTGATCCTACCAGTCACTTTTCTTCCTTGTTCTAAACTGACCACACAAAGCAGAGAAGCTGGTCTGTGCTTGCGTGGTCAGTTTGCATCCTTTGGTAGGCCATTCAGAGGTAGAGGACACTACATGCCTGTATTGGGTAGTTTGTTCAGCCATCATGCCCCCTGACCAATCACAGCCTGCCTTTTGAACACATCCCCTGCTAAAGCACAGCCTGAATCTTGCCTTAGGCTGAACAGACTATGGAATACAGGCACGCTGTGTGTCTGCACAGTGTCCTGTAACCTCGATCACTTAAGAAGAAGCGATGCATAGTCACATGAAAGAACATTTCAACCTTGTTAAAAAGGTAAGATCTTTTCTGTAACTAAGAAAAAGCATTTATAATGCCTGTTATAGTTTAAAACTGTATTAGAAAGTGTCTATAACACTGTATGTTCATAACTACGTTAAATTACCCTAAAATGAACACAGGTGCAGTATAAACTATCAGGGGCGGACTGACCATTTGGAAACTCGGGCACTGCCCGAGGGCCCGGGGTCAGTAGGGGGCCCCATGAGATTCCCCTGGTACCTTTTTCATAGGCATTTTTGAGTTTGGGCAAGGAAACAGGGGCCCCATGATCCCCTATTGCCCGGGGGCCCCATGAGTTGTCAGTCCGCCCCTGTACACTACAGTACTGAGCTTGAACTAAACAGAGATAGATGAAAGTAGTGTGTCCAGACTGGGGGTGTTTAGTGCATGTTGAACACAGTAGACCATGCAACCTTTTACATTTGCAGTATATATTATCTGTAAAGTGACCTATGGCAAGTGCACCCAAATGCAAACTCCATGCAAATGCAGTCTAGCTATCAATATAACATATCTCAGTAATATGTTTCAAGGTAATCAGGCAAAGATTTATAAATGTTCTCCATGTAGTACAGCCAATGGATGGATGTACAATAATTTTTTTCTTTGCGGATTAAGCAAAATGTTATCCCATTACAACAGGGGGGATTTAGTACAAGTCATGCTGGGCCTTGTAATCCCCTGGCGTAGAGAGCCAGAGATTGCTCATAAACAGAGGAGGGTCTGCAGGGCTACAAGTAGGTGATGCTGAAGCTTGTAGTCCCCCAGCAGATACCAAGTCATAGCTTACCCACAGACAAAGGAATGTGTGCAGCTTGGCAGTGACTCACCTGGATGACCAGACTGGTCCAGCCTTCTTCTTGGGTTTACATGCTAGTTTCTTGTACTCCATCCAGCCGCTGACCAGTTCCTGCAGGATGACCATATAGAGGAGGAAGATGAGGATGCGGGGATCAATTTGGGGGAGCTCGGAGTCCAGCTCCCCTGTCATGGCAGACGACAGAGGTAGATGACGAGCTGTGTAGATGTGGTCGCTGCACAGGAGACGGAGGATGAGGAAGAATCATGAATGATGTAGAAGCCCCCCCAGGGGAGGGGGGAGGAGGATGCTACAAGGAGCAGACATGTATTTAACAGAGGCTGCATCTGTCCTGTGTGCTTCCAGAGCATTGTCTGCCTTATAATTAATCTGCTCTTTTCTCACATCCACCAATCATGTAGCTCTCTCATGCCTGCTGCAATGCTAATTCTCTGCCATACAACCCCTGCTATAATCTCTTTCTGATATGGAGTACTTATGTATGTTGTTCATTTATATACAGACAGCAAGTTCCACAGATTATTATACATTTCTACAGTTTTGATGTTCCGCAGTACTCTACAGCGAACACTAAACCTTTACATCTGTCCATGCACCAGAGGCCAGGGGAGCATGCACTCTAATATTCCACCCCAGTCCCACGCTGATATTAATATCATTTTTTATAGCTCTGATAAATTCTGCAATACTGTACAGAGAACACTGAGCCAATTATATCAATCTCTGCACCAGAGCAGCTTACGCTCCAATGTTCCATCACAGTCACATGGCAATATTATTATACAATATTAATATATTATATTACTACTATATTGTACATTAAAGCAGTAGTAAACACCGCTTGCTGACTTATATCTACAGGCAATCATATAAAAAAAGCTTAACTTCAAGTACAACTAATATCTCATAAATGTGCACTGTTTAGGAGATATTCATAAATACATCAGTTGTTCATATAGTGAACTCGGTGTAGAGTAATTCACCCTGAGATCATCACAGAGGACAAGGTGGCACTCTCTATGTCTGGAGAAAAAGAGATTTAATCTCCAAATATGGAAAAGTTTCTTCACAGTAAGAGCTGTGAAAATGTGGAATAGACTCCCTCAAGAGTTGGTTCTGGCCAGCTCAGTGGATTGCCTTAAAAAAGGCCTGGATTCTTTCCTAGATACACAGAATATAACTGGATACTAACATTTATAGGTGAAGTTGATCCAGGGAATATCCGATTGCCTCTCGGGGGATCAGGAAGGAATTTTTTCCCCTGCAGGTGCAAATTGGATCATGCTTTGCTGTTTTTTTTTTTGCCTTCCTCTGGATCAATTGTGGGTATAGGATGATAACTTTTTTTTTTTTTTTGGTTGAACTGGATGGACTTTTGTCTTTTTCAGCCAGACTAACTATGTAACTATTTTTGCAGCTGGTAACATTACCGACGCATGCGCACTGCGCTTTGAAGTGACAGCATGCTGTCCCTTCAGAGCTCTGTGTGCAGGAGTGGATTCATGGCGGCTTGGCCATGACCAGAGCCTGCAGACCCAGAAGGAAGACCAGGTGAAGGTAGAAGCCGTGTCAGCGTCATACTAGCCCATTATGACATTACCTTGCAATGGGAATTTTTTTTTTTTCTCCCTACACACTTTACTACCAGTTTAATATACAGCAGTTAGTTACATCACACTCGGCACCAGAGATGCTTACACTCTAATGTTCCACACTGATATTTATATAAATGTATATAGCTCTGATATATTCTGCAATACTGTACATAAAACATTCTACCAGTTACATAAACCTTTTCTCCAGAGCAGCTTACACTTCAATATTCCACCACAGTCACATGGCAACATTATTAGACCTTAATATAGATCTGATATATTACACAATGCTGTACAGAGAAAACTGAGCCAGGCACATCCGTCTCTGCACAAAGGAGCTTACACTTCAATGTTCTACTCTAGACACACACTGTTATTACTAAGCATTTAAATAGCTCTGACATATTGCACAATGTTCTACAGAGAACACTGAACCAGTGACATCAGTCTCTGCACCAAAGGAACTTACACTCTAATGTTCTATCACAGTCACACACTATTATTGTAATTAAACATTGATAGTATATAGCTCTGATATATTCCACAGTGCTCTACTATCAACATTGTACCAATCACTTTAGTCTCTGCATCAGAGGAGCTTACACTCCTCTGTGGTTCGGTGGAGTGGAGGAGACGATGGACCATTTCTTGCTTCAGTGCCCCTTCAATATAGAAGTCTTCAAGCAGGTGGGTGGGGTCTGGGTATCCCTTTCCTTTCCCACTTGAGTTATGTGGAGTGGTCTTACGGGGTCTTTCAAACTCACCAGGACTTTGATTTTAAGACACTTTTTCTAGTTAGCTTAGTAGTCCGTTACTACACGTGGAATGCACGATGTCAGGTTTCCATTCACAAAAAAGTCCTTCCTGTCGAGATGGTGGTGAACAACATTCTGGGTGAGGTTGAGAAGATTCGGGGTCTTGAGAAGGACGGGTGGCGGCCGGGAGCCTGAAAAAAGACATGGAGGAATGTCAGGTCCCGTAGCTGCTATCTGTCAGTCTCTGTGTGTGGGGCTTCACTTTCTGTCCTTTCACATCCCCTAGATTTTTGTAAGATCAGATTTTTAAAAAAAGTGGCATGGGATCAATGTTTAATCATTTCTTAGCCTGATGGTGTGTTTAGGTGAAAGTCAGGTTTGCTAAGATACATTATAAAGATGATAATAATAGTAAAATATGATTGGTTCTGTTTATGTTTTTCCCGGCAAGAAAAAAGCCATTTCCTGTTTTCTATGCTGAAGAAGATATTTTTGTTTAATTACATATATTTATTTATTCTGTATATATGTAAATATGTTTTTTTTATTATGTTGTTTGTTTGTAAGATTTTTAATAAACAAAAATGTACATTTTAACGCCCCATGACAGTCACACACACCTTTTATACATTTATTCACTGTATCTCTGACATATTCAACAGTGTTGTATTTGGGGCACTGAAACATTCACTTCAGTCTCTTCACCAGAGGAGCTTACACTCCCTTCCACTGTTATTTATCTGTATAGAGTCGGAGAGGTCTACGGCCATACACGCCTCTGGGCTAAATTACACACAGCGGGTCTAAGCTCCATTAGGACGTGGACTTACCTGACACATTCTACATCCTTGCATTTCCCCCTATGGGCTCCTGGATGATCATATATACTGTACTCCCACTACTCCCATGCTACACAGGCAACTTTTTTGTAAGTGTTATTATGCTTTTTTTAGGGCATAAACAGCTTGGATTTGACTAATTCCTGCACCTTTGCTTACCTTTTTAACTAATAAAAAAGCTGAACTGCAGCTAACACCTTATAAGCAGAGACAGCAACAGTTTGTTTTTCCTTTTGGGATAAAGGTTTGACATAAATGAAAAAAGCCTGAACATTGTAAGCACCCCTGTCAGTGTTAAACGCTTTGTCTCAATCCTCTAACTGACACTTTTGCTGGACAGCTCAATCTGTTAAAGTAAGCTTAAAAATAACCAACTTACTATCCAGATCACCAGTTGAAAATAAAGTGAAAAAGCCTAAAAAAAGGAAACGAATACCTCATTGAAAATCAAAAAAATAAATAAAAGTCAGTATTTGTAGCTGCTGACTTTGAATAAAAAGACACATACCTGTCCACGGATCCAGCGCTGTCACTGGGCCAGCTCTTTGTCGGTCTCTGGATTCCTGGCACCGGCATGTTTACTGTGGGAAGATGGCTGTGACTCACAGCTGGACTCTCTCTGTGCACGCGCTGCGCCTTGTGAATGGACCTGCAGCCACCTGGGACCTGTGATGTGTCCAGAAGTCTGCGGGCAGGGAGAGGGGGAGAACTTCTGGTGGAATCGCTTAGGTTATTCCAGCAGAGGAGGTACCTGACAGAATTAGTTACCCCCACCAAAAAAAATGTTCTAAAAGTGGGAGGGGGGGCATAAAGCATACCCTTTGTAGGTGAAGTTCCCTTTTAAGCTGCAATATATCACATTTTTGTTTTTTGAGTTTAATAATGCAATCTAGAAATCAGCTGCCATGTTGTCCTGCTCATGGATCACTGTATATCACAGTGGTTCATATAGTGAACTTGGTGTAGAATTATTCACCCTGAGGTCATCACAGAGGACAAGGGGGCACTCTTTACGTCTGGAGGAAAAGAAATGTAATCTCCAAACATGGAAAGGTTTCTTCACAGTAAGAGCTGTGAAAATGTGGAATAGACTCCCTCAAGAGTTGGATTTCTTTAAAAAAGGTCTGGATTCTTTCCTAGATACACAGAATATAACTGGATACTAACATTTATAGATAAAGTTGATCCAGGGAATATCTGATTGCCTCTCGGGGGATCAGGAAGGAATTTTTTTCCCCTGCAGGAGCAAATTGGATCATGCTTTGCTGGGTATTTTGCCTTCCTCTGGATCAACTGTGGATATGGGATTATAACTTTTTCTTTTGAACTGGATGGACTATTGTCTTTTTTCAGCCAGACTATGTAACTATGTATAGTAGTACAATCCTGGCTGTGCGTTGTCTATGGTGGTGGGGTGTGTAGTTCCTCAGAGCTGTAGGCACAATGCAGTACAATATATGTTGTCAGCACACTGCTGAATATTGATCTGGCTGCAAGTCATCAGACGAGGCGGCTAGCTTGTGTAGTGACTGTGACACACAGACATCTAGGGCACATGCCAGGGAGGGGGTGACTGTGACTGCTGTGTGGCTGCAGCAAACCAAGGTGAGAAATGCCTATGCTTGGCAACTGCTGTTACTATGGGAACTGGAGCTCTCAGCACTCAATCAGTACACCCCTTCATACTGAATCTGCTCACTCTCTCATGGCAACGGATGGATGACTGCAAAGGCTCGAGAATGCAGCAAGAACATGACTTTGCTAATAGGAAAAATCAAATAGAGGCAATCTAATTAAATGTATTTAGGGAAGCTGGGGGAGCTACTGCATACAGAAGGTTTTTTTTTACCTTCATGCATAGAATGCATGAAAGTAAAAAAAAAATGTATCCTGACAACCGCTTTCAGGAGTAAATGAAACCTGTACTGTAAAAGTAAACCTGTATTGAATAGAATGTTCTGTAAAATTTGTGTAACATGAAGTTACAGTTAGCCTGGCTGAAAAAGACAAAAGTTCATCCAGATCAACCAAAAAAAAAAACAAACAAAAAAACCCAACATTTATAATCCTACACCCACAGTTGATCCAGAGGAATTAAAAAAAAACATCAAAGCACGATCCAATTTGTTGCTGCAGGGGAAAAAATTCCTTTCTGATCCCCCGAGAGGCAATTAGATATTCCCTGGATCAATGTCACCTATAAATGTTAGTATCCAGTTATATTCTGTGTATCTAAGAAACAATCCAGGGCTCCAACAATTTTCTGCTTTGGTTGCAGACAACTTTCTGCTGTGACAATGAACCCCCATTCACACTGTGCAGCATGTCACCCATGTACTCATGTCAGCGGCTGCCCTCCATGTGACAAATGCGGGAAAAGTTGCTCAAGTCTCTTTTTTGAGCTTTGCACAATTTTTAGCTGCACTTTTTCTATATGTAAAACCACACACCTTGTTTTCCACCTTTGGGGAACCATTAACAATGAATGCCACAAGTGCGACATGAGTTTTTTGTGCATTCCATGAAAGGATTCAAAATTGTGTGATTTTGTGCGTTTTCACACGCTACACAAGTGCGAATGCGGTCTGCCACCTCCCTCATTGCCATCTCTTTACATTTAGTGGCTGTCAAGAGATATAGAGCAGATGCCGCTGC